TTTAAATTATATTTTATAAAAAATTTGTTTTTTCTCAAAGTTGTAAATATATACAGGAAACAAATATTTAACTGATTTTGTTTGTTTTATACAAAAAATATTTATTAATTGTAGATTTAAATTACAAGATCTTTTGTGTGTTAACCACATAGAATTGTGGAATGAATTCACCTGCTGGTATTAACAGCAGTTTATTGAAAAAAAAAAAATTCTTTTAAATGTTATTACAATAACTTAACTAAATTGTAAAAACTTTCTTTGTAAATGCTGTTAATGCAAAAACATTGAATGAAAGTTGATGACGTCGACATTTTACACATACACTGTCAGTAACTAGTAGAAAGTATATTGCTTAGGATCGATTGTATTTTCCCCAAATGTGTAGCATAAAAACGGAAGCAATGAAGAGCAAAGACATCACCAAGACGGGTACAGGACCACTATAAAAAAGTTGTATTGATTATAATTTAAATACAAAATTTTTTTTTTCTTCGATTAAACTTACACTTTAATACCAGGTGAATCGTCTGTGTAAAATCTCCACATACCACCAGTGCCAGCACCACCCGTTGTACGGCTTCTTGCTGCAGTGTTGCTACTTGTTGTCTTACGTTGCTTAAGATTGCTGCCACCAGCACCGGAGGCGCGTGGGGCAGATAACTTTGTTGGCGAACGTGAACCGGCGCCTACAGTTGTAGAACTTGCTGGAGCAGGCTGTTAAAAGTTTTAAAAATACATTTTATATTTAAATTAATTAAATTTAATATTAAACTCATTCACCATTTTCTTATATTTTCAAAATATTTTGGACCTATGTGGAACAACCTCACAACTGATCTGTACGAACTAAATCGCGATGGCCTAGTCAATGAAAATACACGAAAATACTGAAAGTGACATTTCGTCGTCATCGATTTACACGTAAGCTTATAAAGTTAGTTGTGATGCTAAAATTATTTTGTGAAGCGCCATCTATTTGCGAGGTTTTTAATTCTTAGTTTGAAATATTAAGCCAAAAATGTTACTTTTAATTTAACTTTTTGCCTGAGTTTTATATTTACTTGACAATGTTTTATTTTTTAAAGCTGCAATAATTACATAAATGCACCAAAATTATTTCTTATTTACTATATAAAAGTATCTGGCTTTAACTTAAAGAAAGACAATTGAAAGAGAAATGACAGAAGTGTAATATATAGGAACGATATATGCAGAAAATCACATACAAATATATCAATAAACGTATATATTCAGTACGATGAAATTAAATCTAATATATCTATATCTTAAAAACGTCATTATTTCGAACGTTTAAAAATTTTTTATGAGAACCATATCTTTCTACTACTACAATGGTTTGACTTTTGGCAAGATTTTCACGCATTCGCTCTTTTTTTATTACTTCAACAAAGTTTCGTTTGTACTCAAAATTCGATAATAGTAAATATTTGCATTGAAAAATAGAAACCTTGCCAAAGATTGCCAGTGTAGATACCCAGTTAATCATTAAAATCCTAATAGGATTAAGTTATAGTTTTATTAATCAAATTATACAAAATTTAAAATATTGATTAAAATAAAATATTTTATACGAATAATACTAAAGTAATATATTTTCACAGTAAACTAAGTAAATTAAATTATAATTAATTAATATAAATAATGAAGCAGTGACTTACACCTTTTTTCTTCTTATCCCTGTTACTCCTATCATAGCGGTATTTTTTTGGCATTGTTTTTTTTTTTATTGTAATATTGAATATTGAACAACAGAAAATTTATACAAAATAATTTTCTAAAATTTATTTACCATAATACATGTCTATGGTATATATAATTATTTCAAATTTTGAAGGTTACTAAGTTTTTTTTAATTTGTCAATGGTTTAAAAATTTTTTAGAAGGTATATATTTTTATATAGTATTATTTAATTTTAGAAATGAATTTAGTCAACATTAAATAATATATATATTCCTATATTTATCCTATATATATTGACATCATTCTGTGTTAAAGAACAGTGAGATATAATGAGAAAAAAGAATTGAAAAAGGAACAGTGTGAAACTCTTGATATAAGTTTGAGTGAGAAAGAGCAAAACACATAGAGTAATTCCCCCTGTAACGCGGTACCCTTATAACGCATTTTCATATCACGCAATTTCAATCCCCCGTATAACACGGGCATTCGGGGATTCGGGAATAACACGGGGATTTGTACAGTTGTACGTGTGTATACTTGTGGGGTATACTTGTGCCTATTATATGTTGCAAAATAAATATCGACCTATTCGAATAGTTGTTGTTATAATTCATTGGGATCTGAAGCAGATAACATGTACGGATTACAGGACGAATACATGGGTTGGGATGTGGATGGGTAATGTTTGGGGTAAAGGTAAAAGTAAAAGGCAGAAATGGAGGATATAATTGAAATCAATCCGAGTTCAACTACAGAAACCTAGCCACTTCTAGACGTTAAGTTTAAAGGCCAATTGGACTAAGATTTGTATGCGTAAAGGAACAAGAAAACAGATGAGCGACGTCATGGAGATATAACAGGTGGAGACCTGTTGAGAATTTTGTTGGGAATCAACTTAGGTCTTGCGGAGGATACTGCATCTGTGTAGAGTGCTATAAGTCCATGTTTGTATTCGACCTATGCGAATAGTTTAAATTCTTCGTTTATATTAGAAATTTTTAAAAAAAACAGTATGCTGTATTATTCGAATACAGCACTAATAATAATCATGGTTATTATAGTGATTATAATGTTGATGTTGTTGATTCATTATACTGATCATGATGATGAGAGTAATCGTGATAATAATGATGATAGTCAACGTGATGAAAATGATGATGACAGTGATCGTGATGAAAATGATAGTGATCTTGATAATGAATGATTATTATGATCGTGATAATATTGTAGATAATAATTTTGTTGATAAAGATATGGCGAACTTCATTATACAGATCATGATGATGTTGAAGATGATAGTAATCATGATGATGAAAGTTATTGTGATAATAATGATGATAGTTATCGTAATGAAAATGATAGTGATCTCGATGATGAAGGTGACAATATCAAATTTATTAATGAAGAAAAAATTTATGTTCCTAATCGTTAACAATAAGAACAAGAATTTTTTATTATTTATTAACTTCTTTATTATAGTTTAAATTTATTGAACTTTATAATATATTTTAAAGGTAACTAAGGCTAGAAAAACTAAATGGATAAAGTGAATTTAGTGCACAAACAGTATTTTAATTTAAGTAAATATTTATACTAAAATTTATAGTCTCTTTTTTACTATAACAAAAAATAAAATGTTGTGTTTTAATATTAAAAATATTAAGTATAATTTTACGGAGGTGTTTACACATAGATATATATGTTTGTAAAATAATTATATAAACTAAATGTTACTTGTTTAATATTTTAGATAAAATTTTATATTTAATTTTTTTTTTGTTGAAATATATACTGTTTATTTTTAGTTTAAGTGAAATTAAAGTCAAAGTTATTTTAAGGAAATAAATTTTATAGGTTAGCGGATCGAGGGAAAGAAATAGATTTTAATTAATTTGTGGCATTATTTTATGGAAATAAATTTTATAGGTTAGCGGATTGAGGGAATGAAATATCTTTTAATTAATTAGTGGCATTATTTAAAGGAAATAAATTTTATAGGTTAGCGGATTGAGGGAAAGAAATATATTTTAATTAATTATATTAAAGAAGTAATAAAATAGTTGCTGTAGTTAATATATTTAAAGAATTTATAAATAATTTATAAATACATTTTATATAATGTAAATATAATTAAAATATTTTGAAAAGATTTAAATCAAGTTGTGTGTGGTTCTAAGAGAATTAATATAATAATTTTGTAATATATTTGTGGATATAATACGTGTAATTATAATGAAATTTTAAAAACTTACTACACTCTTCAACTAATTTATATGTGTGTTTATTTGCTTATATAGTTTTTATATATTAAAAGAAATTTTTAATTAAATTATGTAATATATTATATGAGTTATCGAAAAATTATTCAAGTTGATGCCTAAGCCGAAACTTCCTTGGTAGCAATGGTTGCGGCTGCAGTTGTTGTAGCAGTTCCAGATGTTGTTATTGCTTTTATTGTTGTTGTTTCAGTTTCAGTTTCAGCAATTGCAGTGTTTGCAATAGTTGTTATTGCAGCATCAACTTTTTTATCCTTTAATTGTCAATTTTCTGCTGACATATTACCGATATCAGCGTTAATCGTCAATAACTGCGTTACGAAATCCTGGTCAAGCACGACTTCAGCTAGAGATTTGCATAACTCAGTTAATTCACGTTGATTCATATTTAACTGCGGTGCTAATTTTGCCAAATGCTGTTGTACGTTATCTGGTATCTAAAAAAAAAAATAAAAAAAATTTATTGAATACCACACGCACAAGAATTTTTAACATTAAGTATATTTTACCTTGTTGGAGTTTTTAAAGACGTTAAATAAAAATTTTACTTTGATACGTTGATCATTTGGGCCATCATAAAATATGGTGAAATGTGATTCGGTGCAATTTGGTACTACCGGTAGATAAATACCAGCAAACACACGACCTTTCGCATCACGCGACAGCAGCGAACGGAAGTTATAAGCCAAATTACGACGTACGGTTACATCGACTGCAGTCACGTACGGTTGTTCGACATAGACAAGTGATGACTTATACGTTGTTTCTTCACCACGTACTTCTCGTTCCATCCATTCTACGTATTTTTGGCTGTGCATACAGTAGTTGTAGCAATAGTCACGTTGTAAATGTGCTTCTTTGGATTGTGTAAACCAACCTAACCAAATGAAAATAAAATATTTACAAAACTTGTTCAATATTTATTAACGAGCCTAGTTAACTTACCTGTATGTGGATAACTTTGATCGGCCATTACAGTTACAACGCGAGCAATGTGGTATCCAGGATCCAGTATTAAAACACCTTCGCGACCGGCAATTGATATTTTCATTGCTACCATTGCATGCTCCTTTTCAACATTAGCATGCGCTGAATTCAAACCACCAACTTCCTCACTAGTTTCTATGTAATCGCTCAAAGATACCACCTGCTCCTCACATGACACAATATACAAATAATGTTTCAATATAGGAAATAGCTCTACAATACGTATCGTAATTTCCATAGCCAGCGAAACGCACATATGGTGACGTCTGTTGATTGGTATATCGTAGAATTGGAAAAATGATCTTAAGTCGGAACGACGTGTTTGTTTGAACGCCTTATAAAAATCCACAAATAGATGTACTGTATCATAGTGTGTCTCCTCTAGCATACGATGTAATTTAGTTTCAATAATACCCACCAAATCTTCATACTGCCAAACCGTATCAAAATGTAAAACACCTTTAGTGTTTTCGTTGTTAGGAGCCCAGTCGGGCAATGGCAACGGATGGCCAAGCGGCCAGATACCATTCATTTGACTGAATGAATTTAAATTGTAGCTATCGGCATAAGCCCAACATTCTTGCAGTGCATCATCTGCAATATTTGCTGTTTGGTGTGGCTGCTGTTGTTGCCACTTGCAATGCTGCTCCTCCAAGAGATGTTTAATGCTATAGCATCGCGCCGATGTTGCAATTGATGTCATATCATTTTTGCTATTAATGACTGTTGCTGTTGTGCTTTTTCGTTCGGTTGCCAAATTATCATTGATAATACCGTAGGCACCGATTTCAGCATCATTTTTAATATTACCTTTAACAGCAACATATTTCGCGTGATTATGATTAACTCCATTTGTTGTATTTTGATGATAGGTTTGGTTAATGTTATCACTATCATCGTCATAATCGTCGTCGTCATCATCATCATCATCATCATCATCAATATCATCGGTTGTTTCACTGTTGCTACTACTGTTATCAGTGTCGTCAACATGGTTTCCATTAGTCTCCTTGCTATTGCATATTTCGGCAATCGCAATTTGATTATTTGGGTTATCTTGTTCAGTAACGGTGTTCGTAGTCAATCCGACACGTACCGATACTGCCGATAACCCATGATTGGCGCCAGCGGAGCTAGCGCCATTTCGCACCAAGCTGGCTTCGGCGAGTCAACTTGGCCATTCGGCGCCCCAACGACCAACCGTTGGCACATAGCCAGTTTCGCAATCATTTAATGAGGTTTCTAGATTAATTTTGGCTGTTGAATTAAGTGTTAATTGAGTTTTAGCAGACGCCGTATTTGCGGCTGCAACACCAGTACCTGAATACAGACTATTCCGGCCCTGCGCTTTTTTGAACAGGAGGTCCGCCGGTTCGTCTCCAGAAGTCAATTGTAGTTTAGACAGATCTAAAGAATATATATAAAAAAAATATATATAATATATTGAATATAATGTGATAATGTAATGTAAGGTATGTTAAGATTGCTGCGAGTTGTAAACTTTTAGGATTTTTTAATATAAATAAAATATAAAAATAATAATGAATAATAAATTTATATATAATAATTTCCACGTAATAAGTTTAAGAAAATTTTATTAAATATATAGTAATTTATTAGTAATAATAAAGTAGTAATAATAACTAATAATAAAGTAAATATTTCTCCTACTCCTTTCGGTCCGATATTAATTCATAATAATAATCATTTTAATCATTGTATATTAATAGGCGCAAATTGAAATGTTTTTAAAATATTAGAAATTAAATTAATTGCATACTTATGGGAGTGAAAGAAATTTATATATATAAGGTTTACCGACAGTCAAACTTGCGTTAACTTATAATAAAAATTATTTTTTAAGTCTCAATTATGGTGCAAAAACTCTTTCACAGTATATCTTGGATATATTCGTTACCAAAGTAATACATTTTTTCAAAGACGTTACTTTGGTAAACATACAAAACCTCTCCGACACCAATTATACAAGGTGAGATGAAAAAACTGCAACCAACTTCAGACTGCTGTCATTTCTAAAGCGCTCGTCCCACAGCTGTCAGATTTATTCTAGTGACAGCTCATTATATTGTTTACAAGCGCACAAAAGCATTTTGGTGGGAATTTTTCAAAAAAAAAGTTATTTGTGATGGAATTCAAGCGTGATAGTGTGATTGCTTTGCATTTGGCTGGAAAACCACAAGTGGCTATCGTTAGAGCCCTCCAGCATTTAGAAGTGAATAAATGTTTTGTGTCTCGTACCATCGCTCGTTACCATGATACTGGTAGCGTAGCCCGACGTCAAGGAAGTGGACGAAAAAAAACAGCAACATCGGCAGAAATGGTTCGAAAAGTGAAAAAGCGAATTGAACGAAATCCGCGTCGCAGTGGACGAAAAATGGCTCGTGAGCTGAACATATCGCAATATGCCATTCGGCAAATATTGAAAAATGAGCTTGGACTAAAGCCATTCAAGTTCCAAAAAGTGCAAGATCTTACTGATGCGCAAAAAAAAGTTAGACTCGAAAAAGCTAAAGAGTTGTTTCGCTTGGCCGAAAGTGGTGAACTGCCGAATTTGGTTTTCTCCGATGAGAAACCATTCGTTATCCAGCAGTTTGTAAACAAACAAAATGATCGTGTTTACTTGCCAGAGAGGTCAGCTGAAAATTTGCAACTTCGGTTGGCCATCACAACTCAAAAGCCGGCCATGGTGATGGTGTGGGCCGCCATAACAGCCGATGGTCGCTCGCCGCTCGTATTCATCGACCGTGGTGTCAAATTAAATGCGCAAATCTATCGCGAAAATATTTTGGAGGGAGTTCTGAAGCCCTGGGCACGCAAACATTTCGGCCGCAGACCTTGGACATTCCAACAGGACTCAGCACCATCGCACTCAGCACGCGCCATCCAAGAATGGTTAAGAAATGAGGTTCCTCGCTTCATTTCCACCGCACAATGGCCACCAAAATCTCCGGATGCCAATCCGTTGGACTATTGTGCCTGGGGTATTTTGGAAAGCAAGGTTGGAACTAAAAAATACCAAAGTGTCGATCATCTCAAGCAAGCGCTTCGCCGAGAATGGGACAAAATACCGCAGAGCCACTTTCGGGCAGCGTGTGATGGTTTCATTGGCCGTTTGAAGGCCATAGTTCGTGCCAAAGGTGGCCAATTCGAACAAATCTAAACCGATTCTCAAATTTGATGTTATTTCCGACATTTTTTGCTTTCATTCAATAAAATTTAAAAAAAATGAAAAAATTATGGCGTTTTACTTTGTTGCAGTTTTTTCATCTCACCTTGTATATATTATTTGTTATTTCAAAAAAATGAAATTGTTTAAGCTATACTTATTTACTTTTTTCTAAGTAGCATGGAGAAAGAATTTTCTACTATAGCCATAATTAAAAATAAAAAGAAAAATAAACAAAGCAGCAAGTTGTTGGATAAAAGTGATTCACTTAGCATGTCTGTTTAAGATGACTCAAGGGCTTATACTAAGATTTATGATTACATTTTATTTTTATGCGGACGGATAGTATCAGAAATGCGTTTTATATAGCTTTTCTATTAGAATAAGCCAATATTCTTTATTTCCATTCTATTTTTATTTGGTACACAACTTGTCCCATAAATAACTGTGGTGAATATAAAATTTCTATGGTAAGAAAACAGTATTTTCTTTTTGTTATTTATTGTACAGAATAACCAAAACAAAGTAAGATAATATTTTATTATTGGATAATAGTTTGTATTGTAATTATAAATTCTCATACTATTTAAGTTGGTGCACAACTCATCCTATAAATAATTGTGGTGAATATAAAATTAATATGGTGAGAAAAAAACCTTTTCTTTTTTGTTGTTTTTTTTTGAACATAACAAATTGGTAACCCGGTAACAATAGTGCAAATAAATTCAGAATTAATAAATGAATGTTTGTGAGATACAATGTCTATCTCAGCAATATATTTATTGTTTTAAGGGATTAATGTTAAAGTACCTGTAGCTACTCAAAATCCAAGAGTACTATCAAATTAAACTACGTACTAGCTTTTAATAAAGACTTCAAAAATGAAGTAGTATATGAGTATTTAGTAAAAAATATATGAGCAGTAGTAATAAATTATATTTTAAATACTAAGCTTTAGAAAATATCTATGCCGTGTAAAATCCCATGTGTTTATCACATAAACAATTAAAAAAAAAAACAAATAATATTTACAAATGATATGACGCACATAGTATCATGCCGTAAACGTATGTATTATTATTTATTTACATATTAATTATTGTTGAATTTATTATTAACTATATTTTTATAGAAATTCGGGTTTGTGAAAATACATCGGAAAAAAATGGTAGATAAACGTAAGCATAGCTGGGTGAGTGAGTGAGATTAACGAAGTAAACATAGGTGAGTAATATTTCTATAAAAAAATATTGGGAGAAACTAATTAAATGGAATTCTAAAGTTTTATTTTATTTGTACAATTAATTAATTAATCAAATATTCATTTATTTTATTACAAAAGAAATTTCCAATGGTTAGACAGTACTGTGTCCATACTACTGCAAGGTACCTGAGGGTACTTTCATGGTTATGGAGCTATGATGGTGACAAAAATCCAGTTAGCTGCACGACTGGAGGTTTTGACACCAAATAATGAAATTTCTTATAATATTGTTTTTTTAGTTAAGATTGGGATAAAACCAGGGTACTTAGTCAAACCTTGTAAATGTTAGAAATTTTAAACGGAGCATTATATATATGAAATATCAATTATCTATTATCGAAAACTTTTTTTTGAATAATCATAAGAATTATGGGATAGAAAAAAGTTTTATTAAAGAATGGTCGTGACAATTTAGCTTTTGTAGCGACAATCTTGAATTTGTCATAACAACTTCGATTGTATGGTGACAATCTCGCTCTTGTGGTGTTAACCTGGATTTGGTGGTGACAATCTCGCTCTTGTGGTGTTAACCTCAATTTGGTGGTGACAATCTCGAATGGATCATGATAATCTTGATTTTGTAAGAAATCTCACGCCTAAACGCTGCAGAAAAAAATTCCGTAAATTTACATTTTTTTAAAGAATATAAGCAATATACATGAGAAAAATTATATTAGTAGAAACTCATTAAAAAATCTTTCTTAATGGATTTTTTTAGTAAATAAAATAAAATACTATTTTGTGATCAGTGGCTTCAAATCAAAAATCAAATTTCCATTTTATATCAATGAATTAAAAAATATCTAAAGTTTGTCCTATAAAACTAAATTTTATATTTTTCGAATTTGAACCATATATTCTATATCTTCTATTTGTTGTCTCCTAAATTTGAAAACATATTTATGGCCGATTTAGAATCGTAATTTAAGTCTCAATAATGACATAAGTTGTGCTTAAATCATCAACTTTGGTAACTTAAGTTACACTTAAGTCAGTAATCTGACTTACTTAATGTTTGAATAAAATACTTGTTAGTTTACACACAACATATTATTATATACATAAATGTATGTACATATGTATACAAATATATAATATATGTACTCATAAGTAGTAAATTAGGTTAAAAATATTTAATTTTTTTTTTTTTTTTTGAATAGCAGAGGAATTTTTGCGAAATCATGACCAGACACAAAAAAATACATGTGTATATATATATACTAAATTTTATTAGCTTGAAAAATATGTGTATAGCAATTAAGAGATAAATTTTCTTTTAAATGTTTAGCTTTAGCTGTTGCTACGTTTTAAATTAGCATAGAATGAATGAATCACGGGATTTTAAGACCGATTTCCAGTAATTTGTTTACGTATCCGTATATGTAAGTATGATTGCATGTGTTCGTATGTAAGTAAACATTATTCATACGTAACATTTGTAAATCGCGTGATACATAACAGATTGCTATATATTTTTCTCTGTTTAGAAATATACCAACACATAGTCCAACAAGTCCATACAAAAGTGAAGGCTTTCAATACATAATTTCAAATATGTAGTAGCATAGCCTTCGAGTATATCGTAATTATCAAAACCAGAAACAATTTATGAAATATTATTAAAATTTTTT